GAGATCAGCTGCATAGGTACCGCTCAATTCCTGCTTTTTTATGTAACTTTTACCAGTCACATGAATAAATGTCTACTTGTCACTAAGGCAAAGGTTTTGTTCTGTTCAATCTTGTGCATAAAATGCTTTTCGGTGACTTACTGAACAGCTGGGGTTGATAGATTAGCTAACTAAAAATATAAAAGGTGATTCCTGCATTAGCCTTCCGTGGCCGAAGTGCGAGCTGTGTCAGATGGCTCTGCTGGCGTCAACAGCAAGTTCACCCAGCTTGCCGTCAGGGTCTCTATGGCATGCCTCCCTCTCCTTCTGGCCTGGCAGCGATGTTCATACAGGAGAAAGCACTCTTTATAACCTACTGAAAACAGAGGCCTTCCATTACAGAAACGCCTCACGAGTCAGACAGCTCACACATTTCTCTCCATTCCCAGTAGTAAGCAAATTATCATACCATACCAAAAAATTCTTACAGCGTGAGAGTTTATAAATTATTTTTCTACATACCGCTACACAGAAAGTCCCCAGGTTTGAAAGGCATTTGAAAATATATTCATTTACTGTGAATGGGAAAAAAATGGAAACTCTGTGAAACAGAACAGTTTCTGAAAGACCCATTATTTAGAGCTAACTGGGGAAAAAAACAACCTTCTAACAACCCTTGTTGTGTGGGTTGTTTATTTTTTTTTGAACTGTCAGTGAGTACCGAGTCTGAACTTTCTGTATAAAACATCGCCAGAAGGGAGTCACGCTCCCCTTGCACATTTACTTAAACACATAAAACATAATGTTCATTCTGATCTCGCCCTGCAACAGCTGCCCCAGATAAGTTCACACCGAGCAAAATCCTGGCTGATGCAATGCCACATTCATTCAAAATGAATCCTGACAAAACACTCCCCATCCTGCGGGAACCACAATGTCCTTTCCAAAAAAAGCCTTCCCCCACGCAGAGCTGCCGCACACACAAGATGCCGACCGTGCTCAGGGAATTGGCGCAGGCTGTAAAATAGCGAAAAACACCCCAGACCATCGCCTCTGCCAGGGCTCGGTGTGCCCGCTGGGACCCCGAGCAGGAGCCGCAGGGCTGCCGGTGCTGCGTGGGATGGTGAGAAATAGCCGCATGGTCACAGCCACGCAACTGCTTCCACTTCACTCTGCTATTCTTAGTGGTATGGAAAAAAAACACCTCGGTATTTATCTAGGGAAAACAGAAGGAAAAAGCAGCCCCTTTCAGCTATGGCTTTCATTAGCCGCAAGCTTACGGTCAGCTTCGCATCAGCCAGCCTCCTTGCAAAGGAAACGTGGGGAGCGCGCTTTGACAACGGAGTTGACATCCACACCGCTGACAAAACGCTTGGACCGCTCCAGGCTTTCCACGGCTGCTCTCTCCGGCACGACGAGACCAAACCGAGAAGCAGACGGCAGGGCGCGATGGCAGAGATGACCCACGCCGGAGGGACTGCGGGGCTGCCCCGGCTAAGCAGGGAGAACTGCAGGGCTGCAATGACGATGGACTTGCTACCGTCCTCCTGATTTTATTTTTTCTGACAAAAAGCAGGTTCGTCGCTGTACCTAGCACAACTGAACCTCCGGAGAGGAGAAAAGGCATAGGGTGTTAAACAGGAAAAAAAAAACCAAAACAAAAAAAAACAAAAAAGGAAATGGCAACGTGTTCGTTGTTTCGTTTGCTCTTCGGCAGCGGAGGGGAGAGCGGCTGCTGACCCACGTTCTCTCCTCCAGCGAAGAGAGCCTGGCTCTCCCCAGCACAGCCCTCCCTGCAGTGCAATTGTGAACCTGCAGAATTCCCCAGCCCTGCTTTTTAATAATATCCCCCTCCTGCCTCTGTGAGATCTTATGATTTGATTATTCTTATGAACAGAGGCCCGACACTCCCAATAACCGCAGTAACAGATGACATTCCCATGGTAACGCAATAAAAGCCTAACGGGTATGCCCATCGGGATGACTGTAGGCAGGAAAAACACACGACTGTTTCGCCCTCTGCCTGGCCGTCGAAAGGAACAAATTTCCTCTAAAATACCACAAAGCCAGAAGTCACCTGTGGGGAAAAAAAGGCGTGAGATTGATGGGTCATCCCCCTCTGTCTGAGGCTGGAAAGCAGGATAATACTTTTTTTTCTACAATTCACACGTGGTCAGTGGTTTCTTTAATCAGGAGCCAACCTCGGGTACCTTCCTCCTGAAAAATATCATTCCTGAAGGAAGTTAATAGTTCCCCAGCCTTGTTACCCCAGAGATATATGCACAAACCTGATATTCTAGTCCTATCCCCACTGTAGCTGATTTGAGGACAGGCTTTGTATTTTTTTCCCTTCATACAGAGCAAAGAAAACAGTTCTAAGATTGCATTTAACTGCATTAGGAGATTCACACTATTTCTTTTAAAGATCATTAATAGCCACCAGGTCCCAACCGAGTTAGGATAACCTGAAATACCCATGCCAACAAAACAACAAATCCTCCACAATTTTATACTCTGAAAGTAATTCTCACATGAAGGGCCGCAGTTAACATATTTAGTTTTTCTTAATTTTTTTAAAAGAAATTCATATTTTTAGAATCTCGTTATCCTTAAGTCCTTTAAAACACTTTGAGAGCTGTGAGATATTTGTCCCTGCCTCAAGCTGGATCGCACCCATGCATCTTGCTCGGCTCTAATGAGCTAGGTATTATTCTTGCTTCATTTTCATTCTGAAGTAGTTTTGTTCCTCAGCTATATCTGTAACCATACAAACACCCCCCCCCGCTCCCCCGCTCCCAGCATTTACATGTCTTAGCTCAGTTCTAATTTCTCATTAGAACAGAATTTAATAAAGATAACTTTTAATGGGAGTTGTGTATGAGCACTAAAGGATGGATAATGTTCTGCATGTAGGTCAGGTATTCCTAGCAAAACCTCCACCAGATGACAGATACCGCTCTTTGTTTGTGCAAACGCAGGGGAACAGAGTCCCTTCGTCATGCAGGTGCACACAACAGATTTATCTGTGGTTTCTGGCTGATGTGAGAGGTATAAAGGAGACTGGAGCCACAATTTCTTTAGATTTGAGATATATTGGCTTAGGAAGGCTCAGAAAGAATGGTTGTATGTATTAGTTAAGGTTTCTTTAGGCTATATGGTCCATATATACATTCACAACCCACCTGTCTTTATCTCAGAGCCTTACAGGACTCTTCACCTCACACCTGATGCTTCAGAGGAACTGAGGGTTTGGAGACGTGACAGCCGTCTAGGATTTTTCTCCTCTTCCAACAAAAAGAGAGGGGTCTTCCCACCACATACAGAAAGAAGGGGAAACACGCCAAACACCCAAGGTGTAAAGAGAATCTTCAACCTTGACCATATGCAGTCTTACTAAAACGCTAACACTTCCATCTCCTAAGTCAAACTTAGAAAGATAGTGAAGTTTTGGATAAATATGATGAACAACCTTACCTCTGAAAGAAACAGGGGAATTTGCTGTAAGATCCTGCATCTTCCCATCTTTTTTAGCAGATGTGGCACTAGAAAAAGCCACCCTCATCAACCATTACCCAGCAGGTATATGGATATTAATTGCAGTGGGCGAAGGCAAGAGCAGCCCTCTGCTCGGGGGTGTGTCAGAAGCTGAATGAAGGGACCCGTAGTCCTGAATTTGAGAAAGCCATCAGAATTAAGGGGAAGAAGAAGAGAAAGGTTTTCCTAAAGTAAAGCAAACCAAAAAGCAGAGAAACAAGGCTAAACTAGATTCCAAAAGGTGCAAATAAAAGGAGGAGATCGCAGCAAGTTCTGATGAATTTCCAGGTCACGTTGGCGATGGGGAAAACGGAGACCGTGCCGGAGCATCCCACCCGCTCCCGCCGTGCGTGGCGGACAGGAGTTGGCAGAAGCAGTGCCGGTGCTGCCAGGACCTCAGGGCCGTGCCAGGCTGGCATCTCACCGCGGGCAGCCAGCCACGCGCCGTTCCGTCCCGCAGCCATACGCTACAGTCTTCCCGGGTAAAAGTCCCCTAATTACAGGTTTTCATCGCAGAACTCAACTAAACCCAAGTGAATCAGCTCTGCTAATTTGAATCCGAGGCATTAGAATATGCAAAGTTTACCGTTATTTATACAGAGAGCAGGTACAGTCATCAGTGGTACAATGAGCTAAGTGATTGCCGTTTACCTTTTCACTCCCTTTCAAACATACCCAAGACACAAGTGAAACACCCCACGCCCCCACTATTTGAATTTCTGCTAATGAAAAAACCCTCGACTTGCATGAATATTCTGCGTGTTTATTCTTCATACACACGTTTTAGAAACGGGTGAACTCAGCCACAAGTCATGTAGATTCTTACCCATTTCGTTTTAAAAAAGATTTTTCCTCCAACGCCACAAAACAAATTAAAATTCATGATCAAATTTTCTAATGTTAGTATCTGAAACTTCAAATGCATTTCTCTGCACTCTAAACAGCAGGAATATATTCAATATATTCACTCAGATACTGACTGGACCTATGGATATGTACCGATAGGTTCTCAAAATTTGCAGCTGTTATTGAGAAAATTGCTCTCTGAGTACTTCTAAAGCTCTTTTAAGCATAAAATATCAAACATTTTGGAAATTTCATTAATATGTTTGCTAATTGCTGCTACTGTTTTTTATAGCGAACCAGTGTGTCTACATTTAAGCCACATTAACTGAGGACTACTGAGGGAATCCCGTTTCTATCACGACAAAATCAGAGGGTACCCGGCACAAACCATGCACCCGCCGAGGCCCGAGCCGTACCTGCTGGTTCAAACATCGTATACGCAAACCAACCCCCCCCATTTTCTGCAGCAGGAAAGAAGTGCTGACAGGTGAAGATGCAGCTCCCGCACCGCTCTGGGTGAATTCTAATCAGTTTTTCCTGATAGCTGTTGTGCCTGTGGTTACACAGCAGCAGACTGAAGCACTTATTGTATAAACAATACTTTGTTTCCCCTCTTTTTTTTTTTTTAATTTTTATTTTACCTGATTTCCGCCCATGCCATGGCAGTTGAAAATGCCCACTTTTTCATTTTCCTTGCGGCCCATGTTGTCTAAACACTGGTTGGTTTCAACGTTCCTGATCTGAAGAGAGAAAGGGATGAAATGTTCCTTGAAAAAAAAGTCTGTAAATGTCATATTCATGCAGAAAAAATTATGTAACTGTAGGAGAAAGTATATTACCTGTGCATTCAACTACACGAATATATTTTAACTTGCCATTTGTAAATATGTCACACTCCCAAATGAAAATGAAAATAATTACAAAGAGTATAATGAGATTTTAAATTACATATTAAGTACGAACAGCATTCAAGGAAAATCTCATTCAGTGCCCTGCATTGTTTTGTTTAACAAATATGATACGCTTTTACTTCTAAACAATGCAAAACTAATGGCTTGCCCAAGACAGGCACTTTTATTTTCTTCCAGCAGGGCTGACCACTCCAAGAGAGAAACACTGAGGACGAGCAGTGTCTGACGGCTGCCTCTTTCAGAGCAGAGGCCGCCCGACAGCTGTGTGACTAATTACATGCTTTTTAAAAGTTTTTAAATAAAGCTTTCCCCTCAGAATCTACCCGTCCTCAGAGAAGAACAAATACACATAGTGAGCATCTCTGCTTAAACAAACCATTTCTACGCGATCTGTGCAGCTGGGAAGAAGGCAGCTCTGCAAGCGCGTCGCCTGCGATACAACCCTCGACGTGCTGAGTTCCTTCCAGCGATGCTCAGCTCGCGCAATTGCAGCAAAGGACCATCAGAGCAAGAAGCAACAGGGAGCATCAGGGTAAGTGCCAGAGCACAACATATTTTTAGAATACGCATTTATCCAGGAAAACGGCTGAGTATAAAGCAACCGGCCAACTTCAGCTTCGTATGAGAGAAGCGGGAGACACCAGGGTCCCCCCGAAGCTCTCCCGCGTCGCAGACTCCACGACGGTGCGTGCATTCAGCCTGTACAAACCCCAGCATGTGCACGTAACACCTTCTTTCTTAACCCCCCTTGCAGATCCGTTAGCACAGCTGTACGAACACAGCTCTCCCTGCTCCTCCTCGCTCTCAACAGCACAGGGCGATTTTCTTACTGATGTGCGCAAAGCAAAAACGCATCTCCAGGTCCCTCGTTCCTTCGGTAAAACGGTTGTGAAACCCCGTATTTTGATATACTTCAGTGGCACTTAGCACAACTCTCGGCCCTCTGCAATTCCCCATGCCACCTTCAGAGGCTTCACAGGCACGGCAGTCAATAGTAAACCACCGCCACCAGACTGGCCTTAACGCAGCGACGCAAGTAAAATGAGACAGCGCAATCTGACGAACCACGCCGGGGAAGAGCGGCTCGGCAAAGCTCACGTCATCGCCTCTTCATCTGCTCTAATGCTGTTAATCACGCAGAAAGAAATCGCACCACTTCGCCGCCGGTGAGTCACCCCTCCGAGGCTCGTGCTCTTAATTGCTTTAATTCTCCAAGAGCTGCCCACCTTTGGGGAAAGGCTGCCGGCCCTCCGCAGCCTGGTCGCTGACCTGGGGTTTCAGACCCAGCTGATAACCAGACCGACGATTTTCCACCTGCTTTGAAAACAAATGGCCCTTCTTTAGAGCCCCGCAAAAGCAAACGGCTTTACGTGGCTACGGCAGTACATGGCTTTCTGGCGTAAGCCGTTGGACGTGCCCGGGAGCAGCCGGAGCATCGCCGGCAGCAGAAACGCTGCAGCTGCAGGGGGGGACGAGCCAGCTCACGGACGACCCTTCCTCCTCTCCCTGCTCTCCTCTTCTCCGGCACGTGCCACTCCGCAGTCCCAAAACTGTACCCTAGTGATTAGCTCGAATGATAATCCCAGTTCAAATGGTAACCCCCAGCCTTTTTTCTTAAATTGCCTTTTTGTAGAAATAGAGTTTCACGTATCTCCGCAAGAAAGGCAATTGGGTTTGGTTTTCTTTTTTTTGCAATCCCTTGATTCAGGAAAATGGAGAACTAGAATGAAAAGTGACTTGAAAACTCACTTATGATTATTATGTCTTGGGTTTATAAAATAATTCTCATCTTGCATTTATTTTGTATTCACTTTCAATGTTACATGATGAAAACTTAAAAAAGAATATTCAGTATTCACCACATTTTGCACATCTAATGCCCATTCTGAGGCATATTTTCGTCCATCTAGGAAATTGAAATCTAACGCAGTCCCTGTATACAAGTTGAGTTCTAACTGAATGGAAAATTTAGTTGCAAATAAAGGCTTGGCAGTCTTCAGGATCTGCCTATTAAGTGTGCAATGAATAAACTTTATAAACTACTTACGGACTTCAGTTCCGCACAACTCCACATTTTCGAAATTTCATTTAAAAATTGCACGCTTCGTTTATAAAAGCAACAGGCATATATAAATTAGTTGTGCACTAGCCAAATAAAATCCAGATTAAAATGTAATACAATACCAGTTATTATTTCTAACATGCTGGGCGGTGCAAGCGAACCATGCATGAACACTGCCTGCTTTCAAGTCATGCCTGCACCATCTTGCAGGAGGTCATAAGTAAATGAAGGATGATTATCCCACATCTGTCAGAATTATTCACTCTTTTTATCACTGTTTATACTACAGAAGAACAAAATGTGCACTCGCACAATATAATTTGAGGCCCAACGTTGAACACTCATTACATTTAGATGGCACTCTACTAGAGAATCATTTTCTCAGATTTATTACCAAACCCTACTCTTAGCAGCCAGCTAATGCATGGCTTCCACCAGAGGGCTGCTGAGCATCGTTTTCTCTCGGACCTGAGCAGAGGTGAAGCAGGGTCCCCTCCTGAGTGGGTCACCTGAAGGCACAGCGCATCTCCAGAGCAGCTGGGCGCACCCCGGACCCGTCGTGGACCAACAATGCCAGCTGCACCGACAGGTCAGACGGTTTGTCCTACCTGAGACTAAATCTCTGCTGAAAGAGAGGAAAATGACTGAGGAATACACTTCTGACGTTTTAAAGATTGTCCATTACTGCTGATGATGGTACCTGAGCTTTAGGTCTAAAAATCCACTTTACTGCTCAGCTGGCAGTCGGTAGCTGTAATAGTCAAGCATGAGTTTTAATTCATAGATCCTGCCTGAACTGCTGTTTCCATAGAAACTGAGGCCGCGTTGGTAAAAATAAGGTGTTTTAATAACTATTTTATTACTTTCTCATACTTTTATTTTCCAGGCTGACAATATCGTACAAAACCTTATTATTTGACACTTGTTAGATGAGTTCTTTCCTTGCTGTAAAACCATGTTTCACTTTATTTTGTCAGAGTTAAACTGGAAACCCTACTGTGGCTTTTATTTGTCACTACAATTGCAAGTTTCAATAGTAAATTACTTTCCTGGATGTAAAAAAGCCATTTGCTCATTTGATTGCTATTCTATCCATAGCTATCTTTAAATCAAACCATTCAAGAGCTTTTAAAAATCAGCGTAGGTACAACTCAATAGAATATTTTTAACAGTGAATTATCTGAATTTTAAAGAGATTTCAGTTCTTGGTGGTACTAGAACCACCAGATTGTTAGGAATGTCTGTGATACTCAGCTCCAGGCAGCCTTGCTGGAAGACACAGCATCAATAACAAACACATTTCTTTAAAAGAAAAAAAGCAAAAAAAAGCACTTTTTCTATTCTGCATGTAGGTGATAAGTGATGATGGAAAGTTCCCTTCAACTACTGCATATTACTTAATTATTTCAAAATCTTAGTCACAAACCTCCCTTTTCCGATATGCTACCTAATTTAAAAGATAAATTTTTAATGGTGGACATATACATTCAGAATAGCAATGCCCCCTGACAAAAGATTTAGAGAAAATACAACCTGTTCAAAAGTAATGAGAAATAAGATAGAGGGGCTGCACACAAGCACTTTATTCTTTTCTCCAAACCCACTTCATCTTCGTAGCGATTCCTCCATTTGCACAGTGTACTTGTCGTTTGCATTTAGCCAAAGGAAATGGTTCATACCTCACCAAGTGAGTAATAACGCCGTGGAATCTGGGAGTCGGGATAGATGTTTTCCAAGTACCACGAGAAGGGTTTACACTTCAGGTTTTCTCTTAGTGCTTTTCTGACAGACACATCGCCATAATCCACCTTAACAACACCTGGAATTGTTAAGAGAATAGATGATCAAAGCACAGTTTTTGTAAAGCTGCAAAGCATAAATCACAGATCCTTCTCCAGTTGTCATGATTTCCTTTTTATCAATATCCATTTGCTGGAATTACGGTACAGCATTATGCGAATGCATGTGCAGCTGCTACACCATGTATCTTTACAAGCATTAAATAATTAATTTAGCAAATTGAAATGCTTGGAAAATTACATTTTTTTCTTTTCAGATAATGTCTCAATCTGGAAAGGCAGGGCCACTGAACTCCTTGACTTCTTCATATTCCAAAATAAAAAAGAAATCCGTTTACATTTTTACAAACCATTTTTTCCAAAGCATCTTGCTGGTGTTTTCCAGCACTCTCTTCTGAGAGAAATAACTCGGACAAGGCATGGCTCTTTTACTGATGTAATCTAGACCACCCCTTGGGTGTTTTCACCAGAAAGGACATGTTCTCCATCATCCTGAGGAACCCCATTGCTCCATGCCCCCCAAGGTCCTGCAGACCTCGGGCTCAGCCCGTGGCACAACTCACAGAGCAGCTATCATCCTCCTTAACACTACTATACAATTAAATGCCTCCTGCAATGCGGCAGGGAAGGGGGAACGAGGTGGCAGGTTTCTGCAGAGACCAGCCGGTGGACAGGACCCATCTCCCGTACCGGATCCATCACCCTACGGGAAGCAGGGCACTGATGGCACGGCTTTCCGAAAGGGAGAAGATGTAACATCACAGTTAAACTGTCACCATGTCCGGTGGCACCGTTCCGACCGCAAGCCTATACATCAAAGACTGGAGCCAGCAGCATCCCGCTGGCCGTCTGGAGTGGTGCATGGGCCACTAATCATAAATACAGGTCATGAAGAGAGCAAAAAAAAAGAATAATGATCAAGGAGAGGGGAAATCAGTCAGAAATTCCCCCTGTACAGTGTATTCTTATTTAAATCAAAAGAATATATGGTGCTTTCAAGACTCACGATAGCTAGTCAAGCAATTTATGTATCTGTTGATGCTAGAAGTATGCACCCAAGTAGAAGAAATGTAAGTGGGAGGACACAGACACGGCTCTGCATCCCGGACGCAGGATAGGTCAGCACTGACCGTGCATTGGACACGAACGTGCTTCATACAGCTCATGACCTCGGCACATCGGCACCGCGGGCAGATTAAGTCTGAGAGAGAGGTGACTTAAAATCTACTTTGTAAGCACGTGAATAAGGAACTTCCAAGTGTTAAAAAGTATTCTGGAAGCCTTTGAGATGCAGCATTCACTCTCCAACCGGTGCATGCCACACAGGGTAACACGCTCCGTCCGAGGGTGATTTCAGCGGCAGAGGTGAGCGCGGTGGGGAATCCCTCCGGGGCTGCAGCCAGCCCACTCAGCGCTTTGCCTTCGCCGTAGTTTCCTGGGAAGAAATCCATCACATGGAGAAGAAATGCCAGATGTACAGCTCTAGTGCCAAAGAAAGGAAGGCTTCATCTATTCAACTTCTAACTTTCTGTTTGAAGAAAGAGTAACAGGAAAATACCATTCCCATTTTTCACCCTCTTACCAAGCCAACTTTTGCAGGTGTGCATATGACTTTCAGAGTTTAAAATAATACTGAACCCATAATCTGCAATATCCTTTTCAATACTGACATACTCCAGGAAGGGGACAGCTCAGGAAGGAACCATGCATCACAGAAAGAAACATAAAAGCCAGTCTTAAGGTGCTCAGCCAACCTGAGTTATTAAGATAATAAAAAAAACAAAAAGCATGTCAAATAGTCTCTGTAGCCTAAATTAATCTAATTTTAGACGAGAGCTATCATCCAAAGAAACAGTGGTAGGCAAAGCATTAGTAACTGCCAGCACTCAGCTGAAATAGTTTGAAAGACACTCCCAGACATATATCTGAAATCCATGCTGCATTTCCATCATCTTCTGCTTTCCATTATTTATGGGATCTTATTTGAAATTATCATAGAGGTGAAGCTCCAAGGATATCAGCGTATTCTGCTAGGAAATCACGGCCTAAAGCACAAGATGATATCAATTTTTAAAAAAATTCAGCAGACAACAGTAAAGCAATTCATTACTATTAACAAAAATTTAACTTATTTTGGATTTTGGATAACCACTCTTACCCGTATTTCCAGGTATTTACCAGTTACATCTTTGACCAATTAGATTTATGTATCATTATGTAATTGTAGGATATGAAGTAATTCTAGATAATTAACTAAAATACAGGATATGCTACAAATTATTGCTACAGGCTAAAATCAAGGCAGGTACTCCTGGGAAGCACTTTAGCCTGATCACAATGGCTGGGGCCGACTGTTGCTTCATCAGCTCCGGATCAGCAAAAACTCCTCGGAAACCAAATGTTCTTGGTTGGTGCCAAGAAATTAAGTGGCACTTACTCAGGCATTAGGAAAGCATAAAATTATAAACTTCGGTAAATAGACGTATTCAAATAAAACCTTCCACCGTAACCCATATAGAGAAATTAAATCATAATAACTTAGGGGATGGCAGAAAAGTGAAGAGAAATCAAATGCAGGTTAAGTCCAGGCAGTGCTATCCCCTAGCAGAGCTGGCTGAAGGTGATGAAGAGGATCTGTGGGGACAGATTTCTACGGTGGAAATGTAAGAGGTCTGGGGAAAGCCGAGCTCACGGCGCAGGGGAATACAGGGGCCGTACAGGACAGATGTGGTGGACAGGAGGCTTCATCTGCTCTGCAACTCACAGAACATCTTCTGGGCTACAGGATGTTCGGTACAGTATTTGGGGCAGTTTTATAAAATTCTCAAAGATTTTAAATTTTTTTTCCCCAAGGAACAGAGGTAATTGATCAGCTGTTCTGCAGTCAAGGAAATTGATCACAGAGTTTCATTTGACTCTGTTTAGGGGAAGAAAAGTATCAAAAGGTCAGTACTGCAGTCATTAGTTAACATTTTACTTTTTCAAATGGCAATTCTTTTCTAAGTACAGCTCATGCAGTCACTAATTTAACTTACACTACCTAAAATGCTGAGGTGCCTAACCCCTGTGCTTCCATTAAGTAGCATCTTGTGGCTGTTCCATTGCTTTGTGTGTATCTGTATTCACCACAAAAGGATCAAATGAAACAGACACCAAATAGCATAACCTCTGGACCTGGTCGAGCATGAGCAGGATCATGACATGAGTTTTGCTGCAGAGTATTTGTCATTTGTATGTACCAATGGTGGAAGACCAAGAACACCCGCCTGACTTCGAAAGATGTCTGTGCAATGCGTGCTACGCAGAACTGAGCTGAAAACATCTTTGCTTTCAGAAAAGAAACTTTATTTAAAGAAAAAAAATTATGTTTTCCAGGCAAGCTTTTACAGGCAAGGGGGAGTGGTGGTCTGTGATTGCTGCCTCTTCCAGAGGAATAGACATGCACTACTGCTATTATTTGTGCTACTCAATCCTTATCTATAATTAAGCTAATCTTCCTCATGGGAAGGCACTGGAAGTATTAGGAGAAAAGCAATATCTGTGTTTCGTAGTGCTTTGTACTGTGGGGATCTGATGAAGCTGAACATGAGGAAAAAGGATATTAACACTGTTATAGTCTGAGACCGCAAACAACACAGCCTTCCCCTACCACACGCACACACTTTGATATCTGAGTTACAAACCAAATCAGAAACGCTGTCTCTCAATGAAAATACCCTGTGGATTCACCGAACACCTTGTTTCTATTTTGCTTTACAATTCTTCCAGGGATTTCTATTTCTACATTTGGCTCAGCCCTGCAATTGCTGGAATAGAAAAAGCAATAAATCATTTTCCACTCAATCTGGCTCAACTTCATACTTGAGATTTCTGTAATTAAACAAACTCCAGCAAAATAAATTCTAGTTTTACATTTTAATAAAACTTAGCCACAGAGATGAGGAGTCTTTGGTGGGTTTGGCACGCTCACCTCACTGGGGGAGGTTTATCTTAGGGCTCTTCAGGTCTTGGGAGCCCACAAGAGATGCGGAGACCGTGCCCCCCAGCCCGGTGGTGACCCAGGTCTCCACGGCACTGGCATCGATCCCCCTTCAATCCAAGCTGCATCTTCCCTTTCCCTCCATAGGCTCCTAACACACGTTGGTAATACTCCCCGCTACGACCCTGACAGGTTCTCCCTTCCCAAAGCTCCTCTATTATATATACTGCTCATCTTGCAGGAACCGGGCTGGCTCATTTCAGCAGCATTCATTCACATGACACGTAGCGATGCTCGCCCATACAGCCTGCTTTGTCTTCAAGCAAGGACCTCATTTGTATGGATCTACAGTAAACCTTTATATTCCCTTCTGCTCAATTTAAAACCAAGCTATTATGAATCAATACCTATTTGTTGTCACTACTTGCTAAATAATCGAAGGGACTCAGAGGAAATATAGAAATAATTAATGACTAATACGTCCGCTTACACTTAAATAAGAAAACATAAGTAAAATGTCCTTGGGTGCAAAAAAGAAACGAAACATCACAAGTAGCTACAGAAAGTGTAGCGTGCGAAAGAATGGACTAAAAGTATCTCGGGAAAGAAGTGGATTGTTTTAACAGAGCAGCAGATGTGTTTCAAGTAGAACAAATTAAATGGTTGCAGCATTGCATTACACCTGCGTTTTTTCTAATGGGCACGTCCAGCAAATTGGCATACGAGGGTATAGTTTTAAAATTGGCAAAATGTACCATTTCTGCAGAACAAGACATTAATTCATGATGATAAAGATGAAAAAAAAAATCATCTGGAATGAAATAGAAGTTGCAGAACTAAGAATAATTTTCTTTATATAAGAATAACACTTTGAAAACTTAATCCAAATTAGGCTTTTGCTACCTTTTGCTGCCTTGAAAAGCCTGAGAGAAAAAACATTGTTTCACTGAACTGATGTTCTAGTGTATTAAAAGGGAGAGCAATGTGACCAGAGAGACCCGTCTAGCACACCTGTCTGTAGTTCAGCTTTGAAAACCTGCA